TTGTATATCGTAAGAAATTACAAGCGTTTACATGATGTGCATACATAGTCTTCGATCATCCTATGCATCTTGCAGTGTTCTGCAATCCAAACTGTCGTCTCGTCTGAATATCAAGTGTTTTTTTCTTACTCTGAGTTCTCAATGTACTGAAAACTTTCTGTGATAACTTCGACATCACATTCAGCTACATACTACTTACAAACAATCCTGTGAACAGCGTCCACTACAATGTGACTGAGTAACTGAATTGATAATGAAAAAAAGTCTGTTAAGTAGAAATCAACAATCTAGATTATTGGTCAGAGAGGTAGAAATTGTCCTGTAAGCTTATAGTATGGGAATGAGCGTGGAAAAAACATGTAAAATTTTAGGCCGGCTCTTAATCAATTAGAATAGTATCGCTAAATGTAAACAAATTTGGCATAAATAATGGACCGATTAACACGTTCCCCAGGTTGCTATGTCCGTAAATACAGAATAGAAAAGACACTTTTGTAGCCTGCTGATCTAACACCGATTTGGATGAATGTACGATGCTATTAACATAAATCTTCCATTTAACTCTGTATATTACCCAGGATAACCCCGTTTGTGTGATGGTGGTAGAAAGAAGTTAAATAGTAGTTACGTTGGAGGGATTTATTTCAAGTGCTCGTTTATCCAGACAGAAATTCAGAATAGGAAGCGGAAAGTCAAGCGGAGAAGGCGAATGAGCCAACTCCATCTGACCAAGTGTAACTCAATATTTATAGTCAGACTAAAATAGGCTATAGATATGTAATGGATAGGATAAGAAATGCATATACATACACTCACATAGAAACAAACAAGGTTAATAAGCGAATGATTGACAAGTTCAAAATGTGACTAAAGAAGAATGAATAAATTGATCCATCCAGAAGCCAAATAACACATATGGGCTTGACATGGTACTAGACACTACATCCTTACAGGTATGGATTGTCCTTCTTCTAGAAATATTGATGTTACCTAAATAAATTTTTAAACGTACCCAGATTTAGGATTACGGTTTCCATCGCGAAGTGACATCAGCTATGATGAAAAAATGAGTAGTAGCCTTACAGACGAATGAATTTTACGCGAAAACGCAAATGACACTGTCTGATTTGTTCGTCCATAAAACAGAAAACCATCAGGTAATGATTCGTCCCAGAATTAAAGATTTACAGGTAGGATTTAATGATAATGTTGACCTGTCCCTTATACACAATATGCAAAATAATAATATACCATTTGGAAAGTTGTGGCAATCATCTTTTTATACTACAATGGTAAAAAAATAATTTTTCGTTATTATTTTGGACGATTGGAGCAGTATATAATGGTATCTACTGTTTGTCATACGTGATGATTGGATTTCCCCTGCAAGCCTGAAAGTTATATCCTCGTGTGATTGGTCGTTGTTATTCTATACTCTTATGATATTTCCTACTTCAGATTTCGATTTATTCTGGTCTGTCGTCAGAACAATATAATTGGATAAAATATTTTGTTGTTTAACCAATCAACAAAGTCTATTTACTCATTCTATCATTGTTACTTTGCTTGAAAATGGATATAGAGTAATTTCTGATAAACATCAACAGTCCCGTCTGGGGGTAGGAATCATATGTATTACCGATTCGTGCAATATTAGTACAAAGCCATTCAGATTATCGTATTACAGCTTGGATATGCCAGTTGATTTAGTATTACCGTTCTGTTACATATATCTTAGCTAAAACAAGACATACACCGGTAGCATAAGTCTCCAAAGTACATTAAACTAATGTTCTGTCGGAAATCTATTTCTATAGCTTTGACATTTTTGCTGATTGGCTTCGATATAGCTTTTCAAGAAAAAAGTCGATGTTACCATTAAGTTGAAAATGGTTTTTTACAGTATCCAAAACCAGACATTATGTCTAAAGATTTCCTTAAGGTAGTAAAAAAATTATCGAAAACTTGAGCTTCATCGAAAACGATTACACAAATCAGAATGTTATATATTATTTCATGTTCCTCTGAATGAAGTTGGATGTGAACTATAACGTACTACCAATTATGTGATCACTTTTCCTCTATAGAATTACAATGACAGAGATCAGATAGGCAATGATAATAATTATTTAAAAAAAACTAACTTAATAGTGCTTATTATTAAAACTTTCAAACAAGTTGTAAATTAGGATGGTCTTAAAAACCGCTTTAGTGCAAATTTACCAATTTCGAAATGTGACTGCCATAATAGACTTGACTGATACCAAGAAACATTTTTGAAATAAATTTACCTTTAAGTTCGACTGGAAAGTATACGTATATTTCTTTATTAAAGCACATTGAAATGAGTAAATAAGAAGCATTACAATCTAGAAATAATCTTAATTATCAACCAAGAACACAATCTAATTCACTATCCCATTATTAACCAGGATATATTAAGCATTTTTAAACTTGGATTTTAAGGCCCTTCATAATTTTCACTATTTTAATTAGGTTTATATGAGACTGATTTATGAAGTCTATGATATGTATATTATTGACAAAATCAATAGTTAAAGTTACTATACATCTGTTAGAGTACTCATTAACAAGTATATAAAACACAAAATCACTTGCAATCGACTCTTCAAGAAGGAATATTTGGTGTAAACTACTTAATTAATGAATAATAGATGAAAACCTGTTTGAATGTTTTAGAAGGAAAACACATTCGGGAATATTCTTCATGTTTCATCATTTGAGTTTAGTTTTAAGCGGCATAAAATATAAGTAATATATTAGTACAACGAAGCAAGATATAAATCATTTATCAAGTTATCTGTAGTACGTCTTAACTTCATGCTGTCCTTCAACGGTGTGGGCTAATGAAATTACCTGGCTGTCCACATCAAAGTAGGTGGAGTGGGGTTCAAACCCTAAACTTGTTGATTCAAAGTCAAATGACATAACCGCTGATCCGATGAAGATTTGGTAGAGCTGTTATTCAAACCTATAATCATTCAAACTGGCGTCTGAAATTAGATCCATAGAACGCTCGAATACTCGAGTAATTTCATTGAATTTTGTGTGCAGAAGTAAAATTTGAACTTGAACAAAAACTATGATTCGGTTAAGAATCAATCTAGCCTAAGCTAAAGAAATATATTAAGGATTGAACAGGTTTATAACCAATAACCGATTTGTGAACCCATTTTTAACCCAATCACTTCACTCAACCATAATATCTTGGTGCTATTATAGATTTAGCTTAGTGTATTTTGATCAATAAAATCACCGATATTAATCAATATATTATGTCTTCATGTTGAATAGTTAAAACCACTTTTCTATATTTTCGATTGTCAACAATTTATGAAACCAAATGATGTCATTTATTGAGAAATACAACATATTACCAGTCATATATTGACAATTGAAAAAAAGAAAACATTTACAAGTTTGCTGTAGTAAACTAGTCGTAAGTGAGCATGTAAGATAGTCGAGTTTCATGTTAGTTGGAAGTAGCTACATAGAAATCATCAACAAACTTAAATAACAACCTTTTTAGTAATAATTTCATTACGACACTTCGATCTAGAAAACGCAACAAACTTAAAAATGTTAAAAAGCCATCACAATTAAGAATTATTATCCTAATCTTAACGATGGTATAACACATCATACATTCAACAGACATTAAACTATTTCAACGTACACAGTAAATGCAGTTTATAATGACTAAACATACTAGAGAGAAGACTTTATATGTGTAGAAATATCAACAGAACCTAAAAAGGGACAATACAAGCGTACAATCAAACAACTAGAAACTCGTTGAGATTGAAAGGCAAATCAATGAATGAAAAAGACAAACAACGTGGACAAATAGTAAACAACGTTTATTTTGTTTTGCAATTCTAATTCACTTTTATTATATGTAATTGTGTCTGCATTATATACTACTGATAACGATCATCATAGCAGTAGTATTCACATAACGATAAATAATATATTCATAGTTACATCAGTCATTTAAGATGAGAAATAGAGAGAAAGAGGAAAAAAGGACACATGGAAAAGACGAAAATCCACACAATAAATTGATTATAAAGACATTCCAAGTCGTTCATTGAAAGATGAGAAATTTTTTCAAAAAGGCGTCAAATATAAGGTTCACTAAAAAACGGGAAAAAAACTAAAGTTCATAATTTAGAGAAGATGAAACTAAATTTTGTTGTTCTGATAAACTGACGTTTTAATTTTTTCGTTTTTTTTAAAAAGAAATCGAAACATATGGCTAAATGTTGCAGTTGTGTTTTCTTCGTGGAAAAACGATGTACAGTGAGAATCATTACACAATTATTCAGTCGGCTCCTCAAGTGTTCCCACCGTATACCGGACATTTCAGAACGAAAGACGTATTGACATAAACAAACAGGTTTATACATTGACAGATGAATGGACAAAAAAAAGCTAAACTAGATTCATCGAAGAGATGTGTCATATTTATTATTATTATTATTATTATTATTATTATTATTATTATTATATGGTTTAATCAGCTGACTAATTCATTTGATCAACTGAATACGTAAATCATATGTACGTTTACATTGTTACAAATATGATGAGTGTAGATCATTACGTAAACGTGAAAACATTGTGTTGATCTTCTGTTTCTTTGTATAGTTATCATTTATTTTTTGGTATAACAAATACTGATAAACTTCACTGTATATGTAATAATTTGAGCAGATTTTATGAAATTATAATTGGTGTCTGCTGCCAATATATATGTAAGTATGTGCAAAAAAATCATGTTATTTATAAGTAAGTAGGTGTTTATATATGTTGAACTTACTATTAAACACTGATGATAAACAAACAAGGTTGGCAGTACACATTCGATCAAAAAAATATGATAAAATGTTGACTGAATTTCAAGAAAATTTGCTACAAATTAAAAACACACAAGTAATTTATTAATAATTCCCGTATCCTTTCGAGGAAGAGAGAAAGAGAAATTCCGTAAGTAACCAAAAAAGATAAACTATAGGAAATCGAAAAAAGAAGAAGGAAGAAAGTAGTCCACCAATGATAAAACGAAGTTGTGGAAAGGATAAGGAGAAAGAAGGAGAAGACAAGATGGATTTATGACATTCCAAATCCTTTACAATGTGTTATCGCCAGTAATAATGATTGTTGTAATTTTTCCAAACTTTGATATTCCGGCAATAAAAGAATGTTGAAACAAGTATGAGCAGATGGTAATCTAAAATGAAAGAAATCACAATAATGGAAACAAAGTGTACACATACACAAAATGCCTACACATAACCACAATTTTAAAAAATTGTTTAGAAAAAACATGTTGCAAACAAATGCATTACTGAATGAATTCAAGAGAGATATCTTCAGGAGAAAATTTATTCATATGACAATATGATATCACTATGCATGATAGTTGTGTGCTACCTATACTATTCGTCTAATATAATGTTTCTGTACCGAAAACCTCAATCTAAAAACTTAATTATCAATGGCGGGATACAATTGTGAGAAAGCCCTAGACGACAAGGACAGTGTGTATGTGGGATTCTAACCACCGTTACGAAGTACAATATTCAGGTGGGATATCCCTGTGAGATTCTCAGTCGCTTACTAATCACTTGTACGATTGATAATCATTTTCACATTTTAATTAGGTACTTCGACAGTTTCAAATGAATGATAAAACAGATTACTAAAGAGAGAAGAACTTGCAAAAAAATTGTGGGTTTCTTTAAAGTAAGAATCTGTGACAACAAAATGTAGACATTTATGACAATGTTTATTCAGAAAATATTCATAGTTTAATTTGATTTACCTTAGCAAGAAGTAGTGGCAAAATAGATTCATCACATAATTATGCGTTTCCGATAAAAAAAAGTTTTATTAACACTCTGATATAGGTTAAAGCATTAAAACGTAAAGGCAGATGAGTTACAACCAAAATCCAATATCACAACACCAACTTTGGATTTAGTTAATTATTGTCATTATCAATTATACATGAATACAATGGATTGTACTAGATAAGTTACGGTATATTATTGAATTAAAATATTTATAATAGTATTCTAATTTTTATTCACTATGTGATACATGGAACTCATAAAGTTTGTTTTAGCAGATATGAATGTGATAATACGCAAAAACACTCATATTTAAGGTGTTGTTTAATTCTTTGAAACTAACAAACAAGAATTTCACTTTGTAATTAATACAAATGCCTACATCTAAAGAGGCTAATTGGTAGAGTAGAGGGTGAACATTTAACTTGTATTTCGTGGACTTTTGATAATGTATTTAGTCCGATGATTAGCAAACTGGATACTAAAATGAATCTGCCATGTGAAAAATCAGTTGAAAACAGAAGATTAAAGTTGATAATAGAAATAGAAAAAAAATTATTAGATAGTAAAAAAGAACTTGATTGTGAACAAGGTGATCTCAAGTGCTGTGAAAGGCACGACAACAGTTATCACTGCCGGGAGGCCAACACCATGAAAGCATGATTTTACTTGAGGATCCTGAAAATGGAACTAAGTTGGTACTGATCTTGACGATCCAGGAGCAGGACAACTAAGTTCAAGTAACGACTCCTTGAGAGGCGTTTATGTATCACTCTTCTACGAACAGTTTCACATGTTTTGGCTCCACACTCATAAGACCCTATCGCTCGCTAGCAATAGCAATTTGTAAGGTAATGTGAGGAATATTACTTTTACAGTCTGCTTTATCTGATTCCCTCTTTCTGTTGTAAATAGACAGAATAATTGAAGATACAAATTGTTTACAGAAAATGCTATGTCGTCAAAAATCTGTGCAGTGGGCAGAACTATTCCGCTTTCAGATTATGAATGTGTTGCTTTTTAGCCCACATAAGTGGCATGTTATTACCTAAATGAATGAGCGTTCCAGTTAATATGTGGTGCACGCTACTTATATCTGTCGATACAATTAGTATGTAACACCATCAGAAGTGATATACCTGTCAAAAGAACAGGGAGAAGATTGAATTGAAGAAAACAGAAAGGGAAACACAAAGCAACTGAGAATTGGAAGAATCATAAAGGACGTAAAGGACAACTGATGGAAGATTTACAAATGAAGTATTTTTCACAACTTACGAAAGAACTCTGTAATTTTGCATTAAGCAATAAATTGGTTATCCCAACCAAGTCTTCGTCCACTTCAAATATAATTCAACTGAGTCACTGCGACATATAAGCTTAACTACCACGTTAAGCCAGCAGCTAATATTACGTCGAGTATAATTGCTATGTCAACCATTTCAACCATACATTTGAATAACCTGTTAATTGTTTCAAATTCTAAATATTTAAAATTAACTACTAAAATTCGAATTTACAAATGGAAAAAGAAAGAATAAATTATTTATAAAGTAATTAGTAAACAAAATTAATTTACCTATTAGTATCAGAACCTTGACGTGCTATAGTAAATTTCATTTTTGACATACCACCAACTGGTACACGATCAGAACCAGTAGAAAATTGTAATAATTGTTTTTTTTGTTCTTTAGTCATTGAATGTACTATAGACCAGAAATTTTTAATTACAGTTGAATCAGATGTATATTCTTCATATGTAGTGACTCTTTCTAATTCATTAAAATCATATACCTATTAAAATGATATATGAATTGTATAATTTGTTTAATGAAGAAAAATGTAAATGAAAAAATAGAATTTTAAAAAGGATCAAAATTGAAGTATGTAAACTGTCTTGTTATATCTCAGTGATAATTAATAAAAAAAGAAGTACTACAAAATGATAATAATAGATTTCTGAAAACCAAAGCTAATCAAAGGTGTTGGATAGGTGAAGGTTTGTCAGCAACAGTTCCTGGTACAAGATTTCATATTAGTTGTGACTCTTCAACAAAGCGTATCTACAATCTTCACAGAAATGTTTCCTATAGGATTCAAACCAGTAATGTCAATTTCTTTAGACTAGTGACCACACACTACAACTTGATCTATAGACTTTGAACAGCACTGAAAAACGACTAGGCAAATATGATAAGAACCAATATTCACTGATCAACCCTAATGAAAGTGTAGATGGATAACGCATTTATTGTGAATTGACTTAATAACAATCAACATTATCAATGGATTTCAATAGTTGTTAATTCCTGCTATACGTTCAATTTTCAATAGCAAACCGACAAGTTTGTTATACAGTCAATGATATATATAGAAACATGAACATTTTAAATACATCATTATATGTTTCATACAAATTATTATACTTACTGGGCTTCCACGAACAAGTAGCTCTAATTCATCTGGACGAAATAAAAATGTTAATGGGCTTTCATCAACAACCATTTGAAAACCTCTTCGAAAAGCATTGAATTGTTTTTTAACCGAATCATTCAACAAGAAACTTGAATACAAATCTACATATTCCTTAATTTTAATTTAAACACAAAAAAATAAGAGGTTTTTTTAAATAAAAATACTTAATATGAACAAATTATCAACTACATATAATAATAAACATAATGATAATTAATTACTTTTTAATTGTGTATTAAATCCAACATGACAATGAAATACTCTAGGCTAGAAATATAAATTTGTAATCCAGAGTCAGTCAATCATCTATAACCTAGAAAATGGCACATATATAGATTGGTTCAAGTTACTACTACACCACAACAGCATAACGAAATGAAATTATCAAGATATATGAGAAATTAGCATTATAAGTAAAGATGGATAGTGGCTAGCAGTGGAATCCAGGACGAAACGCGCGTCCTGGATGTAAATGTTTTCTTATTTAAAATAGTCAACTAGAAGATAGCATGGGTAATAAGTCTTTTAGTTAAATATTATCTAAATTAGGTGCAATTTTTAAAGTTAATAACTAATATTGTTACGTTGATACTGATGTTCAATGACATGGCCTAACCATTTGGAAGCTAGGTTATACCATTACCATTCTTGAAGAATTTACAGAAATTAAATAAAGTTGGCTGGATATCAACCAAATAGATAAATAGATATTAGTGATACACTTAGTCTCATAGGAACTTTGATTCAATGATAATAATCTTAAAAAGGTATGTAATGTTGATGTGATTAGAGATATCAAGTTTCGCAACCAACATGATAGCAATAAGCTATGAGTGTCCTGAATTTACTGAATTAGTCAGATTTTTAATTGTATCATTCTCGAATGCATCTATCAGTTCACCTGCTCTTGTAAAGCGATGTACATGAGCTGTAGCTAGCGCTCGCTTTTAACTCCGTTACGAAAACATATTCCAGTGTGGTTCTACAAAAATAAGACGAAAGTGGTAAAGAATTCTGTCCCTGAAAATCTAACCGATTCCGATCATACAAATGATTCACAGGTTCATCATAGAATTCGTTCAAATCTAACAAGATATTTTGGTATTCGACTCGGTGAAAACAGCCTAGAAGCTCTTGGCATTCATGAAATGAAGAACAACTTGTTGTCTTTACTGTATCCTTGAACTATTATTACCATTAACATTTATCCATTTATTTTATTTTCATTTCTTTGATTATATATATAAAAATATTCCGTTGTCTCGCCAATTATTTCTCATTATCCCATTATTTTATTCATAATCCTTTCTGATATCACTTCATTACATTTAATATCTCTAATACCTTCATTCATTGTAACAAAAGTATTTTGATTATCTTAACTCATTTAGATTATAATTTATTGTCAGCTTATTAATTTTATTTATTTGCATATAAACAATCTTGTATTGTTATTATATACAATAAATAATCCAAAATTAAAACCTTTCTATTACATCATCATGTTTATTCATAATTCATATGTCCTTATGGAACTAATACTTAAAATCCTATATATATATATATATATATATATATATATATATATATATGGTTTGATAATAAATTTGTTGAGAAGGGATTCTTTAGTTGAACTGTGTATTTTTACTTCTCAAGTTGCACAATCCCCATAGTTCCATCTTATATTTACATCCCATTCAGTCATTCATTATAGTTACAATATTCAACTTATATGGTTGATATTGATTAATCTATTTACTTTTGTAAGTTTTAATCGCATTACCAAATCAAAACTTTCACTCTCTCTCTCTCTCTTTCATTAAATGATTATTATCCAATAACGGAATCTTAGTTCAAAAATGAGTTTTATTCCTAACAAACTGTGAGTAACAATTTTTATTCATGTAAATATCATACTGTTAAATGTCTTTTTAGAATTTCAGAAAAATATCGCTGAAAAGAAAAACATTTCGCTTAAGTTTGTTTAATCCAGCAATTTAGTGTATAGATTATAAATTACTTCAGTTAATTTACAATAGATTTGATCATTATGTTATATTTGATAAGAATAATTGTATCATCTTGAAAATAACCTAAGCATATGTTAGTACTGTTTGAAAAGACAACAAACAATGTGTAAACACAAAAAATTATTTGACCAATTTAGTTGCTATGCATAAGCATCAAATTAACTAAATTAAGTGAAAGAAAAAATATATACAAAGTCAAAGACAAAAAAGCAAGAATTACTTTACGATTTTCTTTTGTAACCGGAATTTTAGCTCCATCCGGTTTTAATTCATGTGTAATAACATTACCGAATGGATCAAGGTAATTGACAGCGAATGAACAACCGAATACGTTTTCAATATCATCATATTCATATTCCAACAAACTTTTTAATCCTTGGGCTAAACTCTAAAAAAAAAGCAGAAAATAACCATATATATATGCCAGATACGGATTCGTGTAATTGACCTTCAGTCACAAGTGTAAAACATCTAATTCTAAAAGAATATATAAATAAACTTACACGCGCATGAGGACCTAAACTTGAATTAATGAGCAGTTATCAAGTGAGAACTTTGCTTTGTTTAACACTTTGCTGTAGTTCAAAACCAATACAGAGAAAAGTTAATAAAACAAAAAAGTACAGCGAGGATAGTGAAAAGTCAAAAAGTAAGATTTCTGAGAATGGATGAATGAAATCTACAAAATAATTTTGATATTCAAGACTGAGAAAAAGACATGTGAGAATTGTGTTTGCACTACTACACCAACTGCATTTGAACTATAATACCTTAGATCCTCTGTCCCCTGAATACTATTATCCTTCTTCAAAAAAAAAAAACTCGGACGGAAATATTAGATAAATGACGGACGAAGAGTTCTTCGAGAGCATTACACAAGCACCAATATGCTATACATATCATCTGAAAAACGTAGTATTATAAAAATATGCTAGTGATCTGGTAAAGTATAAATGGCACGATAAACAAATAGAACCGATATACGTAAATAATTATGAAAAACAGGTAAGATACAATGAACATAAATGACAAAGATTATTGTGTTGTTGAATGAATTACATACACATAACAAATTATTGAGAAAGAAATAGCAGAAAAAGAGGAGTAGGAGAGATAGAGAGGAGGGAAGGAAAAGAATCAAACGGAACAATACGCTAATACTATCAGTAGTAGTAATAGTATGAAAATTATTATGAAATTGTGATCAATAAGCACCCATTAAATGAACATATAAATTGTTATCATGGAAGATAATTCTTATATAGCAACAAAAAAATAGAAATTAATCATTTTTAAAGAAATGTATGGCAAAAATTTAGGGAGGCGGGAGTGAGAAAAACGAATCATTTTAGTGAAGAGGCTTTTTTAGTTTCACAAATAGAAAGAAATAGAGAAAAAATCGACGAGAAAATCAATGAAGCTAAAAACAATTGTCCTTATTCAAGAGAAATAAATAAACATCATATTTGTGAGAGGAATATTGGAAAAACTCTATTGTAATGTGATAACAATTGATCGAATAGATATGAAGGTTTCTTTTTTTTCATTTACATCGTGAAATTTCAGTCAGTCAGTCAGTCAGCTACAACATGGGATTACGCACATATATGCATCGGTCCAAGTTGCCGCACCCCATTAGCACAGTGAGATGAACATCGAATTCATAGAAGTAGTTATTTCAATGGCGGTAATATAAAAAAGAAAGATTGCATATAAAAATATAGTGAATCTCGGTCGTAATTATTCCCTTTTTCTTTAGATCCTTAAGTAGCGACCTAGCAAATTTCAGAAAATTACTAGTAATTGTGACATCAATAATAAATATAGTGCAGAAAGAAAGAATTAGATCGTAGAAAGAAAGATATGAAGTGATTTTATTCTCATAGTTTAAGGGAACATAGAGTGCATACACCTACACCATTGTGATCGATTTTGAGTCATGTCAACCAGAGTCTCCAAACATTGGTGACTGTCGTCAGCGATTTCGGCTTTAGTAAGACAGAGAGATTGTTGTATATCATAGCTGTGGTACAATGTATAATGAAAGCAATGTGAATTAACTTGAAGCATCACACCTAATGAGTTGAGTTATTCACCGATCTTAAGAATGATGTATTGAGTAAGCCTGATGATGGAAATCAATAAGATGAAGTCCTAGAGAATTCAATGTAGAATACTATTTTCAAAATTGTATCATCAGCCTGAATTTATAAATAGGCCAATTTACATTACTTAGATATATAATGTGGAAAATTCTTACAGGTCTAGCATCAAATAGATCTTCAAATGTACCCAATTTTCCAACTAATTTTCGATACAACACTGACGGGAAATTAATATCCAATATAACATCATTATAAATTGCTAAACCCAATAAAGTCCCAATTAAACAATATTCACGTTCCATATCGTCCAGAGGAACTGGATTAAACCAATAATTTTGAGTTTCTTCATCCAGTACAAACATACCTTAATGGAGAAAATAAGACAGGAAAATGTACTACGATTATTATTATTATTATTATTAATTGCCATCAGCTCAATTATATTATATGTAGTAAGAGAAATTTACAACAAATGTTAGGTGGCAGTCGACAGGAGACCTTGAAGGCTAAGGTTTTATGCAAGTTAGCACTTGACTGCAAGGTGTTCCTGAAACCTTAAGAGAATGGATTATTCCTGTACAGTTAGGACCTACGTCACCTATAGCCTCACGATCTCAGGCGCTACCAGGGAGCTATTCGGGCATAGACTCACCTGCTATATGACTGAGATAGTTACTTCTATTATAGTTGTCTAATCCTTTAGTGTTGATCAACTTTTTGTCGACCAAGTTACCTAACATTGGTTAAATTCTTGAACTAAAACATATGTACAGCATTTATGTAAAGTGGCTGATCTATTAAAATGGGGATAAATTATGTTTGACTGGACTGGACTCTTGATTTTCCCAACCTGTCGCTGCCTCGAACACCCTTTCGAATTTCCATCACTTATCATTTGTTTTTTTTCACTGTTCCAATCACTTTATTTGATGTACTTTTCATCTATATTGAAGTAAAATAAACACTCTACCACTGACTCAGTCTAATATTAGTGCTGTCTACCAATTTATTAGACCACCATCACCTGCCCACTGTAAAAGAAATTATGTCATAATATATTCAGTTACTGTTCTTTATCACATATGTATTCATTGAAATAAGTGACTCAACACAAAGAATCCATCAAAACAGCGATAATTAACTAACGAAAAGTCAGTTCCATACTGAACAAATATGTTATACTGACATTGACTGGGACTGATGGATGATGCAAGTTTGAATCTTTGGGTGAGTAGCGGTCATCAAAAAGGATATATAACAAGGTCAAACGTTTTGTATCGAATGGTTCCAGCTATCCAACGACATGAAGCATACGAAATTTTTTTTAAAAAATATATCATAGAACCGTTCATTTCATGTTGTAAATACTAAGAAATTTAATTATAGCAGTTATTTAAACTCTCGCTCCATTGAATATCCACCAGTTTCCTGCTGAACTGATAAGAATTGTAACAACTAATTTGGATATACTTTTCATAGGGCATTAAGTTCTCTATGTTGTTTCAATTAATCAAAACGTTTACCTTGATGAAATGTTGAAATTTGTCTGATAAAAATTAAAGGTTTAAAACATTTTTTAGTAGAAATGAAAATAAATCAACTTGCCATAGTCTGGATTAAAAATACGTTCAATGATCAGTTGAAAAAATTCTTTACTAAGTCCACCTTCATCGATTCCTTGTTCACCATCAAATTCGATGAGAAGTTGTTTTTTAAAATCACCCGGATTTTCCATACAAGCAATTTCCAACTTCAGTACAAATAAAAATATAATAAAACAAGAGTTAATCCTAAAAAATCCAAATTAACTGTAGAAATTGGTGAGACCATAAGTTATGGATGACCTTTGAGCGACTCTAAAATGACCTTGAGAGTGCCTACCTACTAAGACCAAATGACAGATATAAACCAATGTGGAGAACTAGAATTATAATTTACAGTTGATAGTTAGAGCTAGATTTAGAGTTTTCATCATGAACTGATATCAGCTAAAATGCCAAAACGCTATTTAGTAAAAAGGATGAATGAATTTCGCACCAAAGTCCAAGACCTTTTATATTATATCTGATTGGTTTATCCATAAATTATAGTTTCGCCATATATATATATACATGAGCGGACAATATTGTTCCCAATCAGATCCTGGTCAGGCTTTGCTTTAATAAACCGTAATATTTATGTGTATATATGAAATTATTAAACCAATCAAGGCAGATTGTGAGGTCATTGATAACAGTAGATTAGACAACATAAACGAACATGAAAAGTAAAATGTACAAATTGATTATGTGATGATAGGTGTATTAGTTGTGATGAGAATAGTACAGCCTTGAATTAATTTTTCATAAAAGGAAGTGGGTCAATTAATTAGAAAAATAGACGCTGAAATAACTTATATTAAAATTTGCAAAACTACTTAATATGTATTCAGATGATTGGACGACGAATGAAACATACATTTGAAAAAGGAAAGTAAATAAACAAAGTGTGTAGAAAATAATAATTAAAAACGTTTATTAAGGCCAATTAAGTAAAGGAAGTGATAAAAGTTTTCCAAATTTCTTCTGAATACAAAGACTTGGATTGTTAGCTCGAATACATATAGCTTCTGCCAAGTGTGAGGGACATGATCGAACTCTATAAGGAAAAGTAGGTTTACGATAAATTATAAAAATGATTTATTTCTGTCTACTAAATGGCCGCTATCCATCAAGTGTGACAGAACGGAGCTGCATATTATTTTGATTATATCCCCCAAATGCCCTGGTACGTCCGAGAGCGAGGAGAGTCCGCTCTCCCTCTCCAAATGCTCTCACATGGCCACGCGTATATAGCTTCTGCCAGGGAAGTCCTACTCACTGTATTCTCGTGGCGGGGGTGTTGTTTACGAAAATGAGAGGACGAAAAGCGAATCTCCGGCGCTTTAACCGGATTCCAAACCAATGGTGCACATGGGCTCCAGTATCCTGCGAGAACAAATGGCGTAGAACCAATTGTTGGTCACCGGCTTCCATGGGACTGCATCTCCTCACGATGCTCCACTGCCTTGTGGATCAGACCTTCAGGTCGAAGGCTTGGGGAGTGGCCCCCTAAGAAAACCACCTGTTTCGATTTGGGCACCCGGGCAATATCAAGGCCCTCACACATATGGAATGAGATTTGTGTGGTGCATATGTATTTGGTGCCTCTTTGTACCATTATCTATGTGCTGAAATAAATAAATAAATAAATATCCTAACATAACCACGAAGGAAGGTGTTCACTAACTCCTTCGTTCGCTTGTCTGTCAGTGCGCCCAATAATATAACTTTCGCCACAGAAGCAGCTAAATTCGTAGATACACTTAGATGAAGCAGAATCAGGTAACTTATCCCTTAGTCGAAGAACCATTATAAGTCAGCTAAAAAAACAATAAACAGTTGATGAAAACCTAACAGACCAAAGCGAATTCATGTAATTCTGCTCAATTCTCTATCTTTGCACTCCTCAAGATAATAAAGAGAACTAAGTGCATAAAATGAAAACATTAAAATCTCAGTGAAAGATATGGAACAAAACATTTTTATATGTGACTTCAGGATATATGCCAAAATTTCTTCAGAACTTTAATGGATAAACAATATTACTCCTAAATCATTGAATAGAATAATCATGCAGATAAATGAACAAAAGAAAACGTAAAAATTGATTTAATGTATTATTTGATCACTCAAGTAACAATTCAGTAATTTTACTGTTTAGTAATGATTAAACTAATATTGAATTAAGCAAACTGAACGGTTTGAAAGAAAAACTAAATAATCTCTAAGCGTTTCAATACATAATTAATAAACCTAATATTGATGCGTTTATACAACGCTCTTGTGACTTTAAAGTTGAATTCCCCTGGTTTTTATGACTTGAAACTACTTGAGGAGATTGGACTAAAAAAACAGAACAAGAATTTACTATTTTTCAGTATAATGGATTGATTCACTGAAGTCAGCTTATAATAAGAAATGAATCGGGAGGTAATAAAATTTGTATAAACTCAATTGTTAAAGGTATAAAAAAGAATACCTAAAGTGAACAGTGAAACGTATAAATATATCAACATACGAACACGAATTTTATGTAATTGATAGTAATTAATAATGACGTAACAAGTACAAATTATAACTTACAATTAACAAAGCATCTTCAACGATTCTATCCCGATGAACACGCAGTTTAAAGAAAGGCATTTCAGGTGTATCCATGAGAAAAGTATGCATCAGAACACCTCGACGTTCATCTAGCATACGCATACGATTATCATAATACAATAGAACAGATTTCGAACTAGTTTGTAACAGAAATGGTAATTTCATAAAGCTTAACTCATTTGATATACCTTTTGAACGATAATAAATATAATCTTTTTTTGGCTAATTAAAAAAGAAAAAACAGAATGATAAAATTAATTAGTAATCACAATTAACAACTATTAATATATGATGCGAAGGTAGGTTATAGTCAAATAGTCTCTTAAAACATAACTTTATCATATATAAATACAGACAGAATCAGTGTTGCTACACAAATTATGTATTTTACAGATACTATTCTACTGACCATGTTGATAGGGATCATTGAATGACTAGTTGAATACGATCAATGAAAAATTCTGAGATTTAGTGCATTAAACTTTGTATACAAGTTAATGAACTCATAAACCCTATCTTATCAACTGTTATAATTAGGACATAATGCTACATATATGCATATCTCAACATAATGAGACGGCAAGTACAAGGACATATTGAGAAGACATTAATTGTTGAACTGAAGAAAATTGAAACGTGAAGCTTTTCTGGATATAGTTGTCACATTGAACCCGATCTATGGCTTCAAAACATGGTTGATATGGCTTGAAATCGATCATAGTTAACTAGATATGTATTCTTTATCTTTGTCAAAATCTTTTGAGTTCTGAATTTATTCCACACCCTTCAACTTTACACCTCTCACTTATTCACTTTCAACTGCATTTTTTATATGTTTAGTTTTCATTACTATTAACATGATTGTTTTGCACTCTTTGCTTTTTGTCGTATTATTTTCATCTCAGTTCGTTGCTTTAAATTTGCCGATCTCACCAGATCAATATCTTTCTCCAAGGTTCCAAGTAATTTAGGATTGACTTGTGACTTATTTTAATTGGGTAGATCATACGGAAAGAACAAACAATACGTTGGCTTTTTGAATCAACTGAACACGTTGACAAGCAGAGATATCATATTTACCGAAAGCCTGGTAGAGATATACGTTGGGTCAAGTTGCCACATTTAATTAGCACGAAATAAAAATAGCAAAAGATAGGGACAATATAGTAGCAATGAGAAGTTTAAACATTGGGAATATGGTTCGAAAAAAAGGGTGGATAAGTACGTATAAATGAATATTGGAGTTCAAAATAGAGAGGAAGATAAAGAATAAATGCATCGGGACCAGTGTGACCAATTCTAAGCTATGTCACCCAAAGTCTCTAACCATTGGTCTCAGGAGTCAGCACCTACCAACATATTTAGATCAACAGTCAGTACCCTCACGGACTGATGCCATGTCATGGTTTAGTCTCCCTCGACATACCTTTAACTTTCATACACCATGTTTCACAGCTATAAAATAATGCAAATAAGGTTTCTAGCCAGTATACGCGCCCTTTTATTGGCAGATGGACAACTCGCCTACGCCACAAAATAATGTAATTTCAAAGGACTTTTTCAAATCCGTGCCAAGATTTTGTCGCAAAACACCTCACTAGGGATGAACAGACTTCCAAGATAAGTGACGTTGCCAACACATTGAACTATTTCGCTTCCCATCACTAGTTCAGGTGTTGAAGCAGACTAGTTCTGAGACGACAGTATGGATTTAGAAGCAGAGAAACTCATTCCAAACATGCTTGCAATCACAAGACCCAGCATCTTGTCAGTGTCTTCTTCAGAAAAAAGGACTTTTATCTGCACATACTTAGTCGATAGATGAACGTCCTAAAAAGTCAATGAATTGTTTCTAAAACCAGAGCCATAACGAAATTAAGTAAAAAAGGAGTCAGTGGGCGAGCCTGACAAATACTATTTGACGTTTACAGTCCTTCATAAGCTCTGATTAAACATTAACAAACAATATTAAATTAATTTTAATTTAAAATTAAATATACCGATAATGTTAGTAACAAAAATATCTACTAAAACACACCTGTAGGCCATCATTGAGTGTTTCATTTACAAAATCTTTAACTGGAATAAATGGTGTACGACAATCATTAGGAGAAATATTCAGCGCTTTAGCAAATGGATCTTCAGGTAAACTAACACGAGAACGTCTTTCATAAGTCTAGAAATAAGACATTGAGTATTGTCGATGAGTTATTAAGCAAACAAAACACCACAATATGATAAATGAGGACGTAAACAGTATATTATGATGAATAAACGTATATGATTAGTTAATGATTAATAAAACGTTACTTCAGTATTAGATAGTTGGAAGTCGTCGACAAGAAAGCCTGAACCCAAATTTCATGCTAGTTAGCGCTCGTCAGCGAGGGGGTTCTTGTAGTATTGAGAGAACTGGTATTTCGTGTAGAATTTGAATTCGCATCACTCAGCTTCACAGCCTGAGATGCTACCACTGAGCTATTCGTGTCACGAATAACCTGCATTACTGAGATACTGCCAACTGATATATTATTGATCACTGACTAATGTCATGTTTGTCTAGTCCTTTAAGAGGTCAACGATGTGAGATTGTTGATGAGAGATACCACAAAGCCCAGGTTCAGGGATTCATGTTGACTACTTCCAACAGCCCAGCACATCGACACAGTGCACATGATGTAGAGACACTTAGACTAGTGACCAAACTGCAACTTGACCAGTAGAATTCGATCAGCACCTAAAGGACTAAACAAACATGATATAGTGATTAACCAATAATACATATCAGTTTATTCAAAAAAAGTGAGAAAGACATACCAAGTAAGAAAAGTACAACTGGAGAAAAATACTTTATCTCCATGACTTGAGCATCGATCAATGATCTGAGAAAATACAAGTCACTTCGGATAAAATTAACATTGAGAAAACAAGTTTGCAGGAATAAATTCAAAAATCAAGAGAAAAATGTTTTAAAGACTTAGCAACAGAGGTTCATTTCTTTCTGCCCCCAAATGCCCTGGTACGGCCGAGAATGAGGAGAGTCAGCTCTCCCTCTCGAAATGCTCTCACATGGCCACGTACATACAACCACAACCAGAGAAGTCCTAATCACTGGCTTATGGAGGCTGGGGTGTTGTTTACGAAATTGAGAAGAAGGAAAGCGAATGTCCGGCGCTCTAACCGGATTAGTGGACACGGAGAGTCCACCTAGGGGATTTGGAAAACCCTGATTCCAAATCAATAGTGCATATGGGATCCGGTATCCTGAAGGAGCAAATGGCGTATGAACCAAACATTGGTCACCGGCTACCATAGGACTGCATCTCCTGAGGCTGCTCCACCGCCTTGTGGATCAGACGTTTAGGTCAGAGGCTCCGAGTGTGGCCCCCTAAGAGAACCACCTGTTTTGGTTTGGGCACCCGGGCAGTATCCCAGCCCTCATAGAGATCGAATGATTTATGTGGCGCATATTTATTAGGTGCCTCCTTGTACCAATGTTTATGTGATTAAATAAACAATAATAAGTAAAATAAATTTTGTGTTTTACAAATAATAAGTCAGATTAAACCATCTAAAAAGCTACCACAAGGTAATCTTACTTTCGTTTTGATCTGCAGATTAAATTTCATATGCTGAATAAATAAGTAATGTCACAATTTACAATGTTTGATTACTTAGGAATTTCTATTTTCTTATTCTAGGAGTACAATCCATATTTCTGGAACAACCTTAACTGTCCTCTCCAAATGGTTGCTCACTCTTTCAATGTGCTAAACGTTATGGTATATTTTGCAAAATGGATTGATAGACTATCTGTAGAAACCAGTTGTAACATAATTCTGCACTTTAGAGAAACATGAAAAGCTCTCCCGTAAAAGTTCAATCTTCCCATTTGTTGATTGTATGCATTACGTAAACTACAGCTAGATTGTTGTTATACATCATTATTACATACTACGCTTCCATCGTTTGTAGATTGTGTCCACTTCCTACCTCAATAATTTCTGATTACTCCAAACGTTTACCAAGATGTATTAGGAAAAGGTTATTCTGGATTTTTTTACGTTTTAAAAAATCTAATTGTTAAGTAAAAAAAATCAACCGACTAAACTCCAATCATTTGCAATTGTTGAACTGGGAGGATCCGATGCAGACGTAAAGGCAAGAATTGGCAAAGTAAGGGCAGCATTCCTACAGTTGAAGAACATACGGAACTCAGAACAACTGTCAACCACTATTGAAGTCAGAATCTTCAATATGAACGTCAAGACAACCCTACTGTACGGAGCTGAAACTTCGAGAACTACTAAAACCATCATAAAAAAATACAGGTATTTATAAACAATTGTCTGAGCAAGATACTCAACGTGCATTGGCCAAATGCCATCAGTGACAGCCTACTGTAGGAGAGAATAAACCAGCTTCGAGATGAAGAGGAAATTCGGAAAAGACGCTGGAAGTGGATAGGAAACACATTGTGGAAATTATGAAACTGATTCACAAAGCAAGCGCTAACTTAGAGTCCTGAAGGGAAAAGGAAATGAGGAAGACCAAAGAACACACTGCGTCGGGAATTAGAAGCAGACACCAAAAGGATGAATAGCAACTAAAAAGCATTGCCCAGGATAGAGTTCAATGGAGAATGCTGGTAGGTAACCTATGCAACTCCGCGAGAGGTAAAAAGCGTAGGTAAGTACATAAGTGTCCACAAACAACGTTTTTGAAAGGGGATCAAGTAAGATGGCTACATATACCTTATCATCTGTATTTCTATGTGATGGTAATGGCCGGAGAGCAATATCAAGTTTAGATGTAAACATTTTGTTTGGGGAGAAAAATCGACCAAGAGTATGGTGAATGTGGATGAACAATCATGTCTTGTATTGTACGTACAATTTTAAATAAATTAGACCGTGATTTTGATATAACTATTTGTTCCGTTCTGAATGGATTTCAGTTATTTTCTGGATTAGCACTTCCAGGATATTTTTTCCTACAAATGAATGATAGCCTACTACTACACCATAATTCTTATATTAATTTTGACAACTGTTTTAAAGTACGGATCTGAAAAAAATAGATGAAAGTGCTAAGTTTTACCCTATCCCCGTTATATAATTTACTTATTATGCAGGGTGATATTGATCTCATTTATGAGTATACTGCAGTTTACAAATGCACGGTGAATTAACACTTCTTTATTCACCAAATTGTTACCGTTTAAATGAAGTGAAAAAAGAGAAGAAATATGTTCTCTGAACAGTTACATTCTAGTCCAGTTGATAGCATTTACAAAATTAATACTCCAACAATAACTCTACAGTTGATCAGCCAATATATTAATCAGAGTGTATGCAAATGCTAAAATAAGACAACATTTTCCTAATTCAGAAATATATATATATATATATAATAATACTACATTTAACAACTAACGGTAACGGTTGAACCACGACTTACAGGTCCAATATGAGCACGCATTTGTTGTTCAAATAATCTATTCTCTTCAGCTTCCATTTCTAATAATTCAGGTGAATCCATTTGACCAGCCAATAGACTAGCATAGTAAACAATACGTAATACTAGTGCGGCTTCACAAATCTGTTTATCTTCATTTGGCAAACCATGATCTGTAGTTAAACAACGTAAAGTAATATGATGTAATAGAATTTTTTGTAGACACCATAAATTAGTTTGTTCTGGATTTGGTGGTTCTGTACAATTAGCTAATGGTGTGTGTACAGAATTAGCCCATGATCGACATAACATAACTTGTATTGTGTTTGGAAGCCAAGTTACAGCACGATTAATATTTAACAATAAAAGCTATAATTGAAGATGATAGAAACGTAAATGAACAAATCAAAGACGAGAAAAGAATCCAAACAAAATATAAATGTTATAAGTGCCGTACATCTAAACATAAGTAATTCCAAACAACTGATATTAATGTCAAAAAAATCTGTCATCAGATCAACATGACACAGTTATTTCACTTGCTGAAATATGGATTCGTCGTTAGTTTAATTAAAATAATTCAAATTATAAGAAATTTGATTGATAACTCTCACAGATTGAGATCATATTTTCCGCTGCTCGAAACTTTATCAGTCTAGTTTAACTAAAAAGAGTGTAATGTTTAGGAGTCTAACTGATTGTTTAAATCGTCTGGTGCTGTTTTGATTTTGCGTTAATAAAATCTACTAAAGGCGATAGAACAATGTATAAAGCTATCAGAAATAAATAAACAAAAAGTATACTGTATGTAGCGAACAATTGACCAATGTATACTCAAATATATCATAAGATGTTCTTTACCATATACATCAAATTGACTTATTATTAACCTGTGCACATAGAAGACATTCAGTAGTCAACTATAATAAAACTAATACAACCTTTGAATTTCACATTACATCAAAGATAACAAGAACTGGAGTACCACAGAAAAGAAAACGATTGACTAAAAAAGTAGAAAATTGAATACAACAAGATAACTAACAAAATCCATGATAGACGAAATTAATTGAAGATACATGTACAAAAAATGCTGTCACTATAGGAGAAAATTTTGTTTATACTAAAATCGATCTTTTTTTAGGAAAATCCATAGACATATGTGTATTCACATAAAAAGTATTGAGAAAAAAAAGGTTATCTACGGTAGTAAATGTTTATGGGCATGACTTACGTATGGTATACAATAGGACATGAAAGACTTTATGATAGAATAAACATCATTCAACAGAAAAATCAAGTAACCTTATTTTCTTTTAATCTCAAGAAAAGAAAAACAATTTAGTTGGTTAATTGTCAAAAGTCTGGAATGTTAACAGAAAATTAGTAAGTAAAATTTCTTTCCGACCAGAAATATCACTTTTCTCATTTACCTTTTATAAACAAACATTTTACTTTAAATAAATTGGAATCTATAGATTTTCCGCGCTTATATACTTTATAAATGTTCTTAATATCATTTCATCTAATAGACTTCGTTGATATTTTTCAGAACACTATTCATCATTTTTATTTAAAGGTAAAAAATAACTTTATGAGTACATAACACTATCTTAGAACCCTCAGACATCTTTCTTTTTCATACTTTATGTTATTAGACTCTGGAATCAGAAGGTAATAAACCCATGAACTTTGTACAGTTACTATGGAGTTTATTTCACAGTTCACTAAACAATATTCATCAGTTAAACGATACAGGAATGAAATCAAATATTCAGCATATAAAACGTAATTAATGAAGTTGAACAGTAATGAGCAAAATGAAACGACAATCATGATTGTCTTATCTTATGATGACTGACTAAAATATTTACCTTAAAACATTTTATCAGAAAATAAGGTTTTTCACTGTTAAACTTCATTAATTATTGGGTCGGCTCCCAGAAGCCGAGATGAGGCCTCCAGAGGCTCTAAAAGAGCAGAAAGGATTCCATCTAATCATAATCCGATAGAACTTCCTGAAATATCAAAGTGGCATGTTATGATTGAACATCAGTATAAACTTCCTACATGTGGATTGGCTGTCTTATAATGATACTCTAACCAGTGCCAAAAAGTATAAATACATCCATTTTCAGTACATTCTCAACACTTCCATAAACGCTTCTGTTCTTTTCTATCTTTTCGAATGGCGACTGTGGGTTCTACGAGTTCGAGTGCCAAAGTTGTGTACCGTATTAGTCGTAATCAAGTAGAATACTTAACATAAATATATGACTAAAACTTTATAGTAAACTGCTTCACTGTTGATTGTTAACTTGAGAAGGCGTTCACTACGAGGCTCCAGATTAAGTTGTAGGTAGGCCTCGTTGAGGTATCTTGCACTATCATGAATAGTTGTCCAGTGCTCTCTAGTTTTTTTTTCAGTGTTTTTACAGTTGAAATTAGTTTACAATATCAACTACAAACTGACCAACATTCAAAAATCTTCTTTTCCTTATAATGAACAATACTGTTTAATAACATGCTTCTGTCAGTTTTGTTTGGTTCACATTATTCAAAAGGTGAATGAGAGGAAAATATATCATTTTATAACAAAAATAATAATGATCTTTTTATCAAGAAAATACTTTACACCTTTAACACTACTTGGTTAGTTTGTATTTATGATTTTGAATAGAAGTGCGAAGACCAGGTTTTTAATGGAACTGAATAAACTAAAAAGCAGGAAATTCCAGTAATAATAATAATAAATTCGGTAATTCGACTGAATACATTGATTCGCTTCGAAAACCAAAAGTAAACGGTTATTGAAATTCCTGATTAACAGAATATGAAGTATTAAAAAACTTTGTGATGTAGCATTCCAAAGCTTGAAAACGATGTCTACCTACATTCAACTAATGATAAACGATCTTTTGTTGTTATCTGTGTGTAATGTTTGTTCATTCCTACTAAACACGACAGTAGTGATACTTTTAGTGCTGTTACGTGTTTTCCAGGTGAATGATTCAATTATGAAACCCTTGAATGATAACGAAAATAAAGGTGGATTAATGAAAGTGCAGTAGAGTAAAAATGGTACGAAGATGAAATAAATACGAAGTACAAAGAAATTGAAAACTATAAACCTGTATTTAATAATAATGTTTGAAACTAATGAGTACAGACAGTTATTGAAGGTGTGTGATTGTCTAAAAAGACCATTTTCAAATTCTTATTCAAATTATGAAAGGAAAATAAAATGGAAAATTTACATGGAATATTATGATAACTTAGTTGAAACAGTAATCTTTGTCTTTAAACAGTTCCCATAGCTGGGGTTACTCAATGAGACACTGAATATTTAACAATTTGGTCGGTCACAAGATTCGAACAGCTAAATGAAAACATTTGTCATGAAAAACTATACATGACGCCATCATGTCTGCTGCACATACGAACCTATAAACAGTCGTTGAGTTGCATTACTATTAACAATAAGAGATCCACTGAAAAGTACCTCCCATTTCGGTTGGTCAAGACAATAAAACCATGACTTACAAAAACAACAAATCAGTGATAGACTGTAATACAACAAATCTGAAAACATGATCAACTTTAAAAATGACCTTAGGTTAACTCAAATTAATAGACATAAATTGGTTAAAATGATGTTAGTAATCTGGTTTGAACTGTCTAATTAGATATTAAATAAATGTCATTAAAAAATGTTTATGCTGACGATAAATAATACACAACATAAAACCATATTTCTATAAATCAATCAGAAAAAGAATAAGTTCAAATTGATGTTGAGAATTTTATGTCGTGATAAAGATAAATTATTGTAAAAGAAAAAAACACCAACAAGAATAAAACCAATAAGATTATCACTAAAAAAAATAAAGTTTTTAATCTGCGAAATCATCCAGGCATAATCTCGAAAATATAATCACCTGATCTTATAACACGTGAATAAGTCTCTTGGATTTGATTAAATACACTAGTTACTATCAAAAAGTTCTTTACTCCTTAAAACCGTTACAATATTATCATTCAGGTTATTGGATTAAAATTTAAAACTTAATGGAAACCAGATGTTACCAACATATTGATCAAACTGAAATTTTTAACAATTCCAGTATGTATGTGATGTATGCTACTTATGTTGACAGATATGAATAGTATGTAGTACCAATCGGGAGTGGAATGCATGCCTACAGAAGATTGGGAAGATTCAATTGAAAAAAAAGAGAAAGTAATTGTAATGACAACGGAATTGAAGGAATCATGATGCATGTAAGAGACAACTGAAGGGAGATGTGCAAATTATGTATTTGATGTGAAGTTTTCCTCATCTAAGTGATAGTTCACTATATATATGTACTTGATTTTTTCGGTTGAATAACTTGTAACGTGAAGTTAGCACAATCATGATTCCATAAGTAATTCAGTAGTAATCATTACGATAGCAAAATTTCTGGTTTTACGACAATAAAAAGAGACTTTAGAAATAGAATGATGTCCTAAAACAACTATACCTTATGATGGACGACGTTAAAAAATAAAAGAGGAACTGTATTATAACAACTTTATAGAATAGTTTACCAACCTCAAAATGTAAAGGATCTGTTGCAAATGGACATTCATAAAGAATAATAAAAAGATTCACTAAACGTTGCTGAATAATAGCTATTTCAGTAGTTGGTTGATTATCGTCTAATCCATCAGGTGGTTGAATAACTAAAAGTTGATGTAAACTGATCACAACCAAACGACGAACAGCTCTCATTAGTGTATCTACAATATTTTGACGTTCAGGTATAGATACAATCATAGACCAAGCTTTACGTAAATCATTAAGATTAACAGATGGCCAATACATATTGTTTTCTGATTTTTCAATAATTTCAATAGAGTTCAAAGTGTTCACTTGTTGATCATCCATTTCTACATCTGAAAATAAACATTTATAAATATGTTATGGTAAAATTTAGTGAAAGTTCTTTGATGAATGAATATATTCATAAACTCTATAGATATTATTTTGAATATTACAAAATAATTAAGCAAATAAAGCATAAAAATTCAGTAAATATAATTGATCTAGGTTTTAATTTATTTTTATTCATTAAAATAATATGCACCTCCAATCTCAAACACACATTTTCAGATGTGAGTAATTTGAGGTTTTTCGGACATTCAACACCAAATAATCTATAATACAATAAATATGTACTTAGTTATTTCTTCAGCTCTGTATTTTAAGTTTTAAAAATCCCTACTGGGTTTTTTTAGGTCAAACAACTTAAACTGATGGATGCAAATCAACTAATAAACCCTGAATCTGATTAAATGGAATTTTTAGGTTTTATGAATGAGGATTAAGTTATCTGCTCATCAAGAAATAATGTACATATGTATGGTAAAAAGTGATGAACAGATTGTATGCTAACAATCTATGAAAAGGCATGCCTTAATACACAGCTGACTTAAAAGATAAACGGTTACTTCTAGAAAGCGTAATTGTAACATACCAGAATCAGATAGTAACCCTATCTATAAAAATATCAAGCCTGTTAATATCATAAAACCATTAGCATATTTCATTGGTTCATTTAGGTTTCAGTATGCTGAATATGGGTACAAACATTTCATGAACAGCTGGTGACAAGGTGGATAGCCAAAACAATGAAGACAAGTAAAACCATTTGGTTTGATCTACAAGGGTCCTTGCAACTAGTGTTATACAAAAGCCACTAACACAATTGTCTACTAGGCTATAGTCCATTCGATAGTATTGTATACCAAGCATTATATAATTATTTCGGACGGGTAGCCTAATATTATTAGTTTGACACATGTTTCCAATAAGCAACTTACAAATACACTTCATGTAAAACCTTTTATAAACCCAAAATATTTTACTAGCTGAGAATTCGATTGTAAGGGAGAAAAGCAAAAAGTGTTTTCAGCATGCGATTTTATCAAACATCTACCTGTAACAAGATTCAGTACACACCTACTTCGGTTTGGTTAACCGGGTAGCATTCTTACCCTTAGTGTGTGGCTTAAACCCAAGTATCTGGTGGATGAATTAATTAATTTTTTAAATCCTCTTAAACATCCTGATATGGTTTAACTTCAGATGAATACATGATTCTACTTTACATATCCTAACTCCCTTCAACTAAAAACTACACTTCTGAAACATCGGGTGCATGGAAGTAAACGCTACAAACAGTTTACAGAAGTCATAGTACGTTCCCGTAAGTAACTTAACATCTTAGAAGTATACCTACCAAAATGTTCAATACAGAAATGATTTATATCACTGATATTTCAAGTACTTTTTACATACATAGTTGAAAGGTCCGTAACATAATGAAAGTCATTCTCGACTAAGAATGAATTTCAAAGTTGATTGACAGTGCAAAATAACTATCAAGTTACCAACACCATCCATTCCCTTGGTAAACTACATTATGTAAAATGGGAGGAAGAACTACAGTCAAGCTTAACTCCAGACGTATTTTTTAGAGGTCAGAACAACTACACCAATTGAGATCAACCAGAGGAAAAATGCAAACGCCATGTAGACATTAGGAAAAGTTTAGAATTTCGAGTATTTATTGACAATATATTAAAATCAATATAGTCACTTATAACCCGAAAAAATAAATACACATTTTGCAGAATGGTCGAGGAGAAATATTTCGACTTTTGTGAAGATTGATTATAATCCGGTGACTGAATGACTAAGTCAACCAACTCATCATGAAAAAATTCTCATGTATTTTATAAAATCAGACCAGTGATAGCAACCTGTATTTTATTTAGAACTAGTAGTACAGTCCATTCTAAAACGTTTTAGTTTTTTATAGACTCAACTGCCGTACCAAGTTCGTAGAATATACCTAAAATGAGGTTGAACCGCCCCTGATAAATAACATGCACACATCTCTGTCCTAGCTGCATACAGTGACCACTAGGTTTCATAATGCCGAGCAAGAAGTATTAACAACATAGAAATCTCTACCAATAAGAATAAACCAAAACTGTCTAATGTGCCTGAAAACTGATTTATCTACCTTTCAGTCAGCTACAATGTAGGACCAGGCACATATATGCATTGGTCCAAGTTGCCACACCTCATTAAAACAACGAGATGAACACCGGATTCATAGCAGTGGTTAGGTCAAAGATGGTAATATATAAAAGAAAGAATGCCACGTTTTGGTAAGGCCGCCACTCACTTTCTTCCAACAATCTCCAACACCGGTTAGCATTGCACGCCGTGGTAATCGGTGTTCGGGCATACGTAACACGTGACCCAAACATCTCAGTCGATGAAGATTCACAACCTCATCAACTAATTTACCACCATTCCCTAATACTCTGCGTCTAACCTCACTATTACTTATCTGGTGATTCCATCAGATGCCAGCAATATTTCTAGGGCATCTGTGGTCAAATACTAGTAGCTTACGAGTGTCTTCTACTCTTAATGGCCATGGTTCGCTGCCGTAAATTAAAACAGAACGGACTGCCGCGCAGTATACTCGTCCTTTTATTGATAGACGGATATCTCGCCTTCGCCATAGGTGACGCAAGTTGGCAAAAGCCAAACGAGCATTTCGAATCCGTGCTGAGATCTCGTCAGACCCCAACCCATTAGGGCTGATCAGACTTCCAAGATAAATGAAGTTGTCAACGCGTTCGACCAATTTTACTCCCTATCCTTAGTTCAGGTGTTGACGCAGACCACTCCTGAAGCAACAACTTGCATTTAGAGGGAGAGAAGCGCATTCCAAACATTCTGGCATTGTTGCTTAGTGCTACCAAAAGACTCTGCATTTTGTCAGCATCTTCACCAAACAGGACTATGTCATCTGCGTATTCTAAGTCGATAAGTGGACCTCCTTGATGGAGATCAATACCCGAGAATTCAGTCGACGAGAAAGTTATTTCCATCAGTAGATCTATGATGAAGTTAAACAAAAATGGGGAAAGTGGACAGCCTCGATGGACACCACTTGAGGTTGCAAAAGCAAATGGCAGTTCGCCATAAGCTCTGACTCGACTAGTAGTGTTCGAGTAAAGAGCCCTCACAAGGTTTATGTACTTCTGAGGTACGCCTTTCAATGATAGGCACTGCCACAGAATCTCGCGGTCTACCGAGTCAAATGCTGCTTTAAAGTCAAGAAAGACTACCATTGTCGGACGCCGATAAGTATGCCTGTGTTCTAGAACCTGACGAATGGTGAATATGTGGTCGATGCAGCCACGATCAGGTCTGAAGCCAGCTTGATTCTCTCGTGTTTGCAATCTACCTTTACCAACTATAAGCAAAACTGAAATGTGAATGAAAATATTTCTTCGGAATTAAGATGAGCCGTGGTAAATAAGTTATTACCAAAACTGATTGGAGAACTTGAGGAAGATTTCTACTGATTGCTCAAGTCCTCTAAGTTAAATAAATGTCATAAGCACTTAATTTATGGTCACACACAAACACATCTAACAAACTAGAGCCAGAACAAGTTTAACATTCGGAAACTATTGCTAAAGAAGCTGTCAATAACTCTAGCAGTAAAACCATCGTTCAGAAACGTTTAGTAATTCAGAAATAATCCTAAAACAGAATATTGATAGTCAAGAGATTAACAAACTTAAGGAAGATTAAAGACTGTAATATGTGATAAAGACCAGTTTCGTCTCAGTTTTATAAACTATGTATGATTAATGGCTTGCATAGCGAAATTTCTTATTGTTAATGGATCGCACTCAACAAACATGTAACCAATTAGAAGTTTGTACACTAGACTTTGAGCTAAACGAACTCAACAACTATAAAACGTCGAAATGAAATTCCCCAAACCTTATTAAAAGTAGGTTTGAGACCTATGATTCAATAGTCGAAGGACGAGCCCTTGAATTACTGAATGAGAGTTCCGATACAAAAGGAAAGAGTAACACCTGAGTTGGATTTTTATTTCATCGGATCGTCAGTGATCTACCTACAAAACCCGTAACTTCCAGTCGGCTATGTTACAATGAACTTTCGATTGTTTATTTTGTGTTCAATATTTTGTAAACAAATGTACTACGAAAAGACCGCTAACCAGTTGTGCTATTTTTGATATTTTAAAGAGAGCAAGAACAAAAGTTGGTGCAGAATAATATGAATTCATTTTATTTCGTTAGGTTCTCATCAGCTGCTTACAACCTAAATTATTTGAAATTCAACGTTATTATAGATATTGAGATACTTATACATCAAAGGGTGATGAAAGATGAATATATGTAACATGATGTAGCAAAGATTTTGTTAGAGTTAATGAGGTTATAAAATTTTTGTTTCAAATATATAGAGTTTGGGAGGGAAGGTTCCAGAAAATTGAATTAGTGATTAGAAATCATGGAATTAAAACACATAATATTGAATAAAGCTAATAATAATAATAATAATAATAATAATAATAATTATTATTATTATTATTATTATTATTATTATTATTATTATTATTATGTAATGAAATAACTGAAAGTATATTAATGTTGATAAAGAGGGATATGAATTGAAATTGGTCAGTTATGAATGATGTAATCATAAAATTCCGAAACAGTTGGAATGACGTAATAAATAAATATAAAAAAGGGGGTAATGTTACCAGGACAAAGAAAAATTTATTACTGTCTCTTTTTGTATACATAGATCTGGTTTTAAACGTTTGATTGCTAGTGCTTCGGCAAATTTCAAAAGGTTTGAATTTGATTGTTTGTTGATCACCTTGAAGGACTTCAGTATATCGACTTCGTGTCGTCTTGCGACAGCGCTGCTAAATGCTTTTAGTCCGTTTGATTTCAAACCCTTCGGAATATGTTCTTTGAATCGGACGTAGGCTCTCCTTTCTGTTCTACCAATGTAACCGCTTTGGCAGATACATGCAAATTTGTATACACAGTTGGAGGTAACATGAAAGGGATACCTGTCGACCTTTGGTTGTGTCAAAGAACATGTCCTTTTGAACAGGACAATCAATTTAGCTGCAGGATATGTTTTTGTCAATGCAGTTTTTAGCCTCATATTGATTTTTGATATCCTTTTTTGTGGGACTCCATGGCGTTTGTATGAACTAATGATTGTTTGGTACTTGTTTCCTGGTTGATTTCGATTTCTAAATACAATACGTTCGTGCTCATCTAGTTCTATTTGGTTTAAATTGCACTGTTTGGGGAATTCCTAGTTAATACAATAATTCGGATACTTCTAATTATCATAGACTCACGTCAAAAATCTAATTTTTTGAGCATAAATCCGAAAATCCTCTCTCACAACAAATGTACTTGAACCATAAAACTTTTAAGATCTAATAATCATTTAAGTTGCATTTATATACTTGAGTCAACTCACTGGTGTTTGCATAAAATATAAACAAAATAAATTTTTTAGTTATAATTTGTAAGACATGATAACATTACAAGTATACTACCTATTTTAAAGATACTTTATGTAGATGAGTGGGAATTTGATAATAAAAACATTACTTACCATTTTGATAAACAGGAAAATCTGTTGAGATACTAGTCATACCTTCGACCCAAGAAGATTCTATTATGTTGTCAACCGAGCCATCAGAATTATTTACAGTTGGCGGAATAACTTCATTGTAATCTTTTAGTGTTTTGGCACTGGTGCAACACAGTGATGAGTCTGAGACGTCTGTGGTTTTTTTATCCTTTTTGGATTGCTTTCCTGATCTAACCCCACATAATTCATGTAAGAAGCTACTTGATAATGCATCATACGAACTGAAAACTGAATTTAATAAACTTATAAGACAGGACCACTCTCCATTTTTCCTCCCCATTTCAATAGCTTTCTGTAGTTCGGTTAACGACAAACCAGTTTTACGGGATTCACGTTCGACAGATGTATTCAGTGATGGTGTTGTATGGTTATTTTGGCTTGTTGGTCCTTTGAGGGTTTTCAAAGTATCAGAGCTCGAACTAGATGGCCTAGATGTTCCTGTAACACAAATACAAGATATCGTCAATTAAATTGGCTAAAAAATGATGACCTCCCAAAAAAAGACGCTTAATTACCAGATTTTACGAATCTCAAGAATACGATCTAAGAGAATAACAAATACATGACCAAAAGCTGGAAAGTTCCAAAAACATACCAAACAGAGGATTGCGACTACGGAAAGCGGAAGTCAGAGAGTTATCATGGTCCACCGAGTAGTCCTCTGCAATAATTCCAGAAGCTGGCTCGCTTAGCTGGGAAGAACTGATTTCGTCATTTTCCGAAGCATCAAACAGAAACATGATTAACCGAGTAACTTCAGCGGGTGTCATCAGAGAATGAAATGAATCTTCATCAGAACCTGATGTTATTGTATCCGAATTAGCAACAAGCTGTTGTGATGAAGGAATAGAAGTCGTTTGAAGACTTGAAGGCTCTTGAGGATGGTAACTAGACACCTAAAGAAAGAGAAACTAGGCAAAGAATATATTACTTCGTTGATTCCGTTCGACGTTTCACCACCTTTGTCATCACTATTAATTTCAGGTTCCACAGAACGTGAGGTTGATGGATTGCTCATTCCAGATGACAAGATTGCATTAGTAGATAAACAGAGATCAGCACGATTGACCGTTAATTCGATTGCTAGAGCAGCCGCTTGATTTGGTGTAATACCCGAATGCGCAAAATTGACTGAAGATGCACAGTTTCTATTTTGACAATCTACATTACGACAACCATGGATAAGCTGGTTAAAGTATAGCGTAATAAGGTGCTTGGCTTGGGATTCAGGGATACTCCTAAGAATAGAAATATTTAGATACTAATTTTAAACGGCGAAAATTGATAAAAATCGATAGTAATTGGGTAAGTGTGTGATTATAGCAGCAACAAGGTATTTGAAGGTTAGTGAAAATTCGTAACATTGAAGAACCCTGAAACAAATAACTTGCATTTTAGTCCGTAAATGAATTATATGAAAGTTTATATTAAAGAAACTTATTCACGATAAGATCCACTCTTAATAGCGATGAGGTATTAAAACACGAGACAATACTTGGTACAAACTTCCATACTCTAATCCTCAAATCAAATTAAATTGCTTTTATTCCAAGTTTCTTTAAGTTCAATAACGGAATTTTTTATTTTTTTTAAAGAGAACAATACGTCAAGATTTTCAGCCGGAGAGATTGTGTTATATTCTTTGGATGTATGTACATCCTAAATACATCATTGTATGATAGTACGAGATATTAAAAAAGTAAATTAACACGACAAACAATGTACAGTGTGGTCATTACCTATCTATTTAATATCAATTATCACTATTATTTGCTTAAGCGCAAATATTGGTATAAAGAGGAACCCGAACAAGTATTCGCCACATAATAAGAAAATGAGACTGCGAAGAGATTAGAGATGAGTAAAGTGTGCCGAAACCAATGAACAAAGATAAATTGGAAATAAAAATATAATGGGTTTCCGATTGAGAGAGATACGGCCAGGAAGAACTCTTTTAATTTAAGAAATTTCTTCCATTTCTATGGATAAAATAGAGGAAAGCTACAGCGGTACCACCACTGGCTTCTGTTCTGGGTCGTATCTGATACAGTTTCCAGTCACTGTGTTGCACTATCCCTGCAACCGGGACCAGAGAGTTGTGAAGGACAGGCATGCCAGTACAGCTTTCTTCCATAACCAGGCACTACGTCACAAACTGATCACCTCTTCGCTTTTCCCTAAGTCCCACCGTCGGCAAATAATGCACAAGATGCTATTCTCTGAGACGACGTTCGCAGCACATCTTCGAGCAAGTGAAGCCAGTGTTTTGAAATGGTGACACCAACTGAACTGTCGTCAATATATGAAAATACGTTTCCAAACCTCAGAAGTACTAAAAAGATGTTGATACTAAGTATTCACAATTCCTTGGCGACAACAGTGACTGAACTCAGTCACTTAACATATTAAAATCGGAAAAGCTACGTTTTACAAGTATAGTACGAAAATTTCATTATCGCGTTGTAAAGACCATAACAGTAAGACTAACATCTCGACAGCGCCATAGATGATCAATTCGATATAATCCACTCCAGCTTCACCTATATTTAGATCGGTCATATCAATTACGCCTCCACAACCACTAACAAGGTTACCCATATACACGAACTCAACCACTTCTAAAGACTCACTACCAAGAGTGAGTGCAAGCACAGGCTTCATCCGGTCTTGCACAACCACTTTATGTCTAGATGTAAAGCACATATCATACGTACGGACGATAATTAGCAACTGGTTAAGTAAGGATTACATGGCTCAAGTATCATTACAGTAAGACAAAATCACCCGCATAATCAGGGTCGAAAAGTTTCTCTCCAGTTAACAGAGCCACACTACGATTACTTCCATCCCTCGAATGGAAAGGAAGTGCAAATCAGGTTAAATGAAAAACAATTAGAGTGACTAATCAGAGAAATATCTGGTCTAAAAGTAAGGATATAGGATTAGGAATCAAAGTACAGGTTTTCATCACAAACTGACAACAGCTGTAATGCTAAAATGTTTTCAACCATAATTAAGGACAAAGTTCTCACCGAAACCCAAGAATTGCAGCCCTTAATTTCATTGATCCGTACACAAATTATAGTCTAGACTATAATTCGGCGGACTCGCCGAAACAATCCATGATTCAATTCATGAGAAATAATATTTCAACGTGAAACCTCGAAAAAAAACTGAATTGACCATCGACGAACAATTTGATAGTCCAACAAACTCCAGAGACATAAATTTAGAAAAGAACCAAACGAACAAGACCTTAATGAAAACAAGGAACGAACACACGCAAACGAGATAACTTTAAGCTTCTTTCTGCTGCTCAGACATAGTTTTATCGAAACCGAACAAACTACAAATATTAAGAATTGATTAAAGTTAATTGTCCGCAAAATTTGTGCTAAAAACAACCACTTTAGCAGAAAATCACAGTGTCACTATTACATTAAAGTAACGTTCAAATTCAAAAGCCTCGCTTGAGGTATAGTCGAAAAAATTAATGCCGTTGCTAACTACCAATGATCTCAGTACTTTCTGCGTGTGACACAATTCAACTTAATTTCCAAAACCACGTATCGTTACAATATGAATTTTCTAAACATATAATTCAAAATACATACGCGCGTGAAACAAATTTCTTCTCATCTGTTGTGTCTAAAAATGAAAAGGTTTTTTGTATTTATTAGAGCCGTATTTTCCGCTTCCAGTAACATGTAAATCTCGGCTCTTTGTGCTCAGTTTCTATCACCTTTAGAGTGTTTCAAAAACACTTATTCTGGAGATCACTTCTCCGTTAGTTTATTTTCTTTGAGCTTTAAGACGTCTTCTTGATATTGTTCTCTCTGTGAGATCACTAACAATTTTAGTGGCGCAGGTCAACGTTGTTGTATAAACTTGCATGCTTTTTTCAGTCGACAGTGAAATGCAGCGTAACAACTCCTACAAGTGTTACCACAACGTGTACTACGGACTCACACTAGCTGCATGTAAAAGATGCTGTAAGTCACTAGCACGTTGGTTGTGTGGAGCATTCTGTTCTGCAAAGTCGTTGCTGAGTCTCGAGGCCACTGTGCTGCTGAACATAACTAGAAAAAAGCCCTCAGATATAAAGCTAGCAGCAGATGTGTGGCTTTCAATTCTCGAGGAAACAGCGGGCGTTATCGTGATTTCAGATTTGTATTTGAGTGAGACAATCAAGGTGTGCCCCGATACCTTAGCATACAACAAACATTTAAATGTAAGCATCGTTGCGAGAGAAAGAAAAAGCACGCTCAAAAGAAATAAATCATCGAAAAAGTCGACAGTTCCAGCTCAGGATTCACACATCAGTGCATAACAGGATACGGAGGAGCAAAGCCTTGGCGGTGTGGATGACGTAACCAAGAGACATAATAAGATTAATGGTTGGCTCACAGTCACACTCAGAAAAGAAAGGAAACGGACTGAAACCTAAGCCTGAGAACTTCAGGGCTTCGAAGATTTCAGGAAACAAACTTCACAACTTCTTAAAACGAACCTCGCTGACAGATCAGTCATTCTTCCAAAATTAGGCGAGTCTTCCGGAAAGGAACCAAGGGCAGGATTTGGACTCGACCTCAGCCACATTAATTCCTTAATAAGGAGGCTACTTCCAAAAACATCAGCAGGGGTTGTCATCTGTAGTCACTATAGATTAGGGCAAAAATTGTATTCTGAATGTACGCAGAAAAGCCGCCTCTAAAAAGTTACATTTGCTTTTGCTGAAAACGGAAACAAACTGGTAAAAAAATTCACGCGAATCGATTCGTTTCGGAATAAATTTCCGTAAAGATCTTTGCCTGTTTGATCATACGAATAGACGATCGCCAGAAGTAGAAGTAAATGAGCGCCGTCAGAATGGTGAAAAAAACTTATAGCAAAGGGTTTTTACACTGTGAAAGTTCGAAGCAAAACGATTCTCAAACTACTCTAAAATGCAAACAGCAAGTTATTGAATTAGTTGTATACCATATTCCAGAATAATTAGTCGATGACTCAATAACACAAGAGTAAAAGCCTCATAGTACGTGACTTTAATACACTTTCTGTAAGGTGGGATAACGTAGCAATAGGGTCATCAACAACATTTGATCCCAAATAATTGGAAACCACACTCTTCTTAGATTTATTCCAGTAAATTGAAGATCCCACCAGATCTGACCTACAACGCTCTTCGTCTCGTGGACCTAGTTCTCACACACTGTGATATCAGTCTAATAACCTTACCTCCATCCTTAGGGAGATGTGATCATGTGGTCGTCCTATTCACGTTTATGGCTGAGTTGGCCTGTTAAACAGTTGCTTCTGCCCATCCTAACATATCAAAGGCAGAACTAAAGGTGGTCAGCTCTGCAGCCTTGGTCGAAAACTTGACGATAAATCTATTTCCGATAGTTACACAATCACGTTACACAACCATTCATACCCTGGACAGTACCAAGGAAGACGAAGCACGGCCAACATTCGAAAGACGGCGATATCCGACGTTTACTAAGACAAAAGAAGAAATGTTGGAACACCATCAGCCTTTGCACCACAAATAAGATGGAATGCTACTGATCGGTACGAAATAAGTACATTCCGTAGAGCTTAGAGAAAATATGAAAAGCGGTTGGCTCAATATGTACTCAAACAACCTAAGAGACTATTCTCATACATAAATTATACAACAAGAATGCAGCAGTGGATTCCCAACAGCATTACGGATGAAAGGAAATCTCAGATGATAGCGGATGATCAGGACAAAGCGAACGCTATG